CAACTCTGCAGCTGCTCCTAGGCCTCTGCCAGCAGGCCAGACCACACGCCACCAGGCCTCCCTGGATTGTGATGCTGGGGGGAGGTTCCCTGAGCAGGAACGCCACCTGGGCTGGGCTCACGGCCTGCTTTTGGGAGGAGGGTTGCCCTCTAGGACACTGATCTGACCCTGGAGGCACACACACCTCACCAGGCTGTTCACAAATATCCCTTCTGTGCCCCGGGCAATGCTAGACCTTGGTGCACGGGATCTGGTCTGCAGGTCTGACCTCTGGGTCCCAGAGTTCAAACTGTATCCCCACCAGGGAGAGGAGTTCCGGTCCCAATTCACCCACAGGGAGCCCGAGCTGTGTCTGTGTCTCTCAGCCTCTGAGTCGGCACCGTTCTCCTGGGAACACCGTGCCAGCAGCACCTGGGATGGCTGGCAGGTAGGGAGCTCACAGTCTGAGTTCCCCTGAGTCAGCTGTAGGGTCCCAAAAGGAAAGGTCCCATTCCCTGGAGGTACCTCCGGCTGGTGGCTGTATTGTCTCTCTGGGCAGCCGCGGGTAGGGCCGGCGGAGGGGAGGTGGAGGCAATGTGGCGCCTGCCGCGCGGCTCGGGTCTATGCACACGGCGGTGCCCCGAGGGATTTGGGAGTCTGGTGCTGCGTCCGCTACAGGCTTACTGCTAGCTGGTGGCGGCCGTCTCTGGGCTGGTGTCCGCAGGTCTCTCCACCTGCTGGGGAGCCCACCAGCAGTCCCAAATGCATGGGATGGGAAAGGTGATTTATTCACCTACCCTTCCCACTGGAGGTTGAGGAAAGTCGAGCCCTGGAAGCCTTGCTCCTCTGCACAAGGCCGATGACTCACCTCATAGTTGATGAATACTGGCTGACTTTTAATCACTGAGTCTAAATGATGTATCCTTTTGTGAACATTCTATTTTTGACATTAACTCCAAAGAGTTAAACTATATGTATGTTCTTTTTACAGTTGATTAGAAAGATTTCCTGTGTGCTGTGTGAGTGCTGGACTTTGCCTTGTTGGCACCAGCTGAGCTGGTGACAGCTGTGTTCTCCCGCAGTGCTGCTGGGGACACCGGGCAGGCAGAGCACACATCATGGCAGCATGCAAGCAACACGTGTGCCCTGGCACATTTTCAAAGAAGAGCTACAACTGCAAAATGATGCTTTCCTTCAGGTTTTATGGGTTTTTAAAAAAAAGTTAGTGAAGAAATAGCTTTGTAATTCTTTCTTGCCATTCCCAAAAAGATACTGTGATATTTGCTAAATCAAACTGTCATTTTCCTTACTGCCATCAGGCCAGCATCTAGACAATGATGTTGGGGTGGGGTGCCGGTGAGGAAAGGAAGATGTTTCCTGGTATAATCTTTATTCTGGTGCTAAGAAAGTGCTTTGAACCTTGGTGACACACACACCCAAATGCAGAGCAAGGGGTTGGGAGAATGTCTTTTCCCTTTGCCTGGTTGCCCATACTACATAATTGTTTTTATAATTGGCTCAGATGCTACATTGTTCCCAAAGGAGATCAGTCTTCTTCTCTCCATCTCTCTCCTTCTGTCCTTTTCTATTTGTTAAGCTCCTTTGTTTTAATGCCTAAATGCTTAACAGTCCATCTGACCCCTCAGCTCCCAGACACTGAAAATGAATTATCTTTATGTGATGGCTGCTATGAATATCTTCCCGTTTCGTCTTGGCCTCTGAGTTGTGGGTAGCCGTCTGCCCTTGAACATTGCATCAACAACAATTGTATAACCTCTTCCAAGCACTCGCAGCAAACTTCAATTTATAAACATCTGTGGAGAAAGAGGAGAGAATGGGGTTGACTTGAGCGTGGGCTTTGAAAGCAGAAGGTCCCTTCCCTGGAGGCCTCTGTCAGTTGATGTTTCCGGGATGAGCATGACAGCTTCATACTCTGCCTGACACTTTTTGTTCAATTATTCATTGACCAAGTTTAATTGTGGGGACCAGGTAAGATACAGTATTAAGTCTTATGAAGAATTAAGTGGCACTACCTTGATTGATGTAAAACTCTAATAAATCATTGAGTTTAATAATTTTAGAGCTATTTAGCAAAAGCAACAAGATTCAGAGTGAACAGCTTGCCTCTGAGGGCAGTATGTTGGGCCAGTAACATTTAGCAGTTAGTTAAGAGGAAGGCTGAGCCACGGGGAGGTTTAGGTTTTTTTTGTTTGTTTGTTTGTTTTTTTAGAATTTTTTAATTTCCATCTTGATTTCTTCATTTATGAAGTAATCATTTAGTGGAGGTTGTTTAATTTCCATGTTTTGTAGAAATGTGGAGTTTCTGTTAGGGTTGATTTCTACTTTATTCCACTGTGATCTGAGAAGATACATGGTTATGATTCTATTTTTTAAATTCTTGAGATTACTTGTGTCCTAGGATATGGTTAATCTTAGAGAATGTCCTGTGAGCTGATGAGAAGACGTATGTTCAGTGGATTTAGGTGAATGTCCTGTAGATGTCAGTCAGACTCGTTGTTCCAGGGTTTGTTTAAGTCCATTATTTCTTATTTAATTTCTGTTGGAGGATCTGTCTTGTGCCGTCAGTGGGGTGTTAATCTCCGTGATTATGGAGTTGCTATTAATCCGTTTGCTTAGATCCAGTAAGGTTTGCTTTATGAGACTGGGTGCACCTAAGTTGGGTGCATATATATTTAAAATTGTTATCTCTTCTTGTTGAAGTGTGCCCTTCACCGTTATATGTGCCCTTCACCCTCTTTGTCTTTCACTACTTTTGTTGGTTTAAAAACTAAATCATCTGAAATTAGAACTGCCACGCCAGCCTTCTTTTGGCTTCCATCTTGCCTGGAATACTGATCTCCACCCTTATTCTTTAGTCTATATGCATCCTTGCAGGTTAGATGTGTTTCCTGAAGACAGCATATACTTGGCCTGTATTTTCTTATCTATTCAGACAGCCTATGTCTCTTGAGTGGAGAGTTTAAGCCATTCACATTTATTGAGAGAACTGATAGGTAAGGTAGATTACTGTTCATTCTGTTGGGTTGGATGCTGTTGCTTTGATTTCTGTCTTGAGCCATTGTATATCTGGCCTTTAATCTTTTGGTTTTGGTTTTTTATATTTGTGAGTTTTTAATTATGGTGTTCCGTGTGTAACACTGTTTTGAGTACTTCTTGTAGGCTGGTCTTGTCTTGGTGAATTCTCTGAGACTTTGCTTGTCTGAGAATGTCTTTATTTATCCTTCATATATGAAGCTTAGTTTTGCAGGGAATAAGATTCTAGGCTGGGCATTGTTTTGTTTCAGAAGAGTGAGAATGGGGCCCCAGTCTCTCCTTGCTTGTAAAGTCCATTAGAGAAGTCTGGTGTTATTTGAATTGGCTTTCCCTTATATGTCACTTGCTTCTTTCATCTTACAGCTCTTAGAAGGGCCTCTTTAGTTGATATTTTGGTCAGTCTGATGACTGCATGCCGTGACGTCTTCCTATTTGCACTGAATCTCCCAGGGGTCCTCTGAGCTTCTTGAACTTGTATGTCGAGATTTTGAGCAAGGCCTGGGAAATTTCCTCTATTATATCTCAAAATAGCTTGTCCAACCTTGAGTGTTGTCCTCTTCCCCTTCTGGTAACCCTATGACCTCACATTAGGTTTCTCACATAATCCCACATCTCTTGTAGCTTTGCTCTTTTCTCTTGTTCTCTGCTCTATCTCTGTGATGGTTTTATTTAGTTGGAGGGTGTTATCTTCAATTCTCTGAGATTCTTTCTTCTGTTTGATCTACCCTGTTCTTGAGACTTTCCACTTATTTGTAGTCCTGAATTGATTCTTCATTGCCAGGAGTCGGTCTTAAACTTTTCTTTCATGTGTGTCTATCTTAGTGAACTTTTGTCTAGACCTGAGGCTTTTGTGTTTCTTGTGTTTGGTTATTGAGTTTTTGTTGCAGGTCGGTGAGTGTTCTTATGATCCACCATATGAAATCCTCTTCTGTCATTCTGGTTGCCTGAATTTGGATTGGTGTCCATTTCTAAGGGGGCTGGTGCCTCTTTGGGGGTGTGGTTTCCGTTTGGTTCTTCATATTTTCCTGAGTTCCCTTCGCTGATTTCTTCCCATGTCGATCAGTTGTTGTTTCTTTCCTTTAGGTTTTTGTTTGAGTATTCACACCTTTGTTAGTTTCTGAGGCCATTAGTGGTGTCTGTGGGTGAGATTTTGACACTCCCTGTATAATGAAATCGAGTGGGTGGCTATGAAAAGGCTGTGCAGGATGCCAGCTGAGGCAGGAGGATCGCTTGAGCCCAGGAGTTTGAGGTTGCTGTGAGCTAGGCTGATGCCACGGCACTCACTCTAGCCTGGGCGACAAAGTGAGACTCTGTCTCAAAAAAAAAAGGGGGGGATATTTACCGAGGTCTTTTGATCGACTGTGCTGCAAGGCCTGTGTGGGAATGACATGCAGCCTGCCCAGGGCAACCTGAGGCTTGCTGTGAGAAGATTGCACAAGGGGCTGCTTCCTGACTTCCACCTGGGCCATGGACTCTTGGTTCTGACTGTCAGGCAAGGTCCACCTCGGCCAGGTGTTTGTGCATGACATCCTTAGATGGGGAATACAGAGCCAGTTCCTATAATACTAATCCCAAGTAACAGTGAAATAAAGGGTGGTACATGCTTATTTCTTTCTCTAGCAATCCAGGGTTTTTCAGTATCAGACACCCAGGCCCCTGTACCCCGAGGGCGTTGCCCTCTCCTGTGTGGCCTGAGGTGGCTCTCTACCATGTGCACAGAGGAAGGGGGGTCGAAAGCAGGTTGCATCCATCACTTTCCCTCCCAGCACAACAACCCAAACTCAGTTTGTTGGAAGATGAGAAATGCAGTCTTTGCTATGGGCACGTATGTGGGAGAATGGACGCTGGCTGGTAAGAAGCAGGTTCTGACATAAGGTCTGTGTCTGGGGATTTGATTAGGATGAACCAAAGTGTGAGTTGAGAGCATCTGCTAGGAGATCTCTATCATCTTTATTCTACAGACTTACCTGCAACACACATGAAGACCACAGCGGGCTATGGCAGCCTCATTCATCCCCCTCCAGGGGGTTCACTCAAACCCCCACCAGTGTTGCCATGTATATGGTCTCTGTGCTGGTCCAGTCTGGGTCTTTTCTCACTGTCCTGTAGTGTTCTTGTTCAGACTGCACTAGAATGTCAACTTGTCTTCACAGTTCTTCTTACCAGATGCTAACCTTCCTTTATGCGTTTGTCCCAGCAGTCTCTTTGAGCACTCGCTTCTGCGGCAGGCAGGCTCGGCTTCTCCGCAGCCTCTGCAAGATGCCACTGCATTCAGCTCGCTTAACCTGTTCTCTGAGTTCTCTGCATCTTTGTGGGATTCAATGGCTGTAGAGAAGGTGAGGGGCCCTTTTGGTGAGAAGAGTTACTTCCTACCTAGATTCAGAGTGGAAAAATGAACTCCAGCTATGCAGAAACAAGGTCCAGGGTTATGTGTCCCCCACAATATCTGGAAGAGCCGATTCCAGTCACAGGTGGCTCAGCACTGCTGTCTGTCCCCACAAGGCCAACATCCTGTAGGTGAGTGGCACTGGGCATTATGGTGTGTTCAGGACTTCAGAAGTGGACGTGGTGGTCACCTTTTCTTGTTCCAGCCTTGCACTCTCTGCAGAATGAAGGGGACAGGCCCTTTGGTATTGAGGATTAGTTTACTCAGCCTCCAAAAATGGTTCTAGGGCTGTTCACTTTTAGCTTCCAAACACAGTTTGAGCCTTCCTGCTTTCCTTTATTCCCTCACATTCCAGCCTCCTGGGATGCCCTTCCATCTTCTGTCCTTCGATTCCAATCCTTTTCACTCTTTGAAGACTCAGAAACCTCCTCTTAGATAGGCTTTCCCCTGAAATGCCAGCCTTGGAACTTTTAGGACACTTGTTGATTCTCCCTCATATTCCTCTAATTGGTAGAGTTGAACTACAGCTTCTCTCTGTTGTTAAGTATTTCACTTCACACATTTTGTCTTCCTTTCTCAGTTGTAAACTCCTGACTTCTGTTAGTCATGCATTTATCGGTTATTACTAGGCCCTGCTCTGTGCTGGCACAGGACACACAAAGACAAATGATTCCTCTCCTCAGCACCTGCCTAGGAGAACTAAGGAGGGAAGGCAGCAACTAGACACAACAGCAGAACAAATTGTTGCCTTACTAGTAGATGTGCATGCAAAATGCTTTGATGGGTCAGAACAAAGCCAACTGCCTGGAATGCTGGAAAGTTCCATGAAGGAGCTGGTATTATTCTACTGGCCCAAGCGATGGTGGGGACTGGTGGGCACAGCTGCGCGCCGCGAGAGGCGTGAGTGCAGACGTTCCACAGCGGGCGAGAGTGCGAGCCAGAGGCTGTGAGTGTCGGGAAGGGACAGGGTGCACTGGAGGAGGGTGAGCAGGGAGGAGGCTGAAAGGTGAGTTGAGTGAGATGGTGACGTGCTTACGGGCCCTGCCAAGCTTCTGGATTGCCCGGCAGGTGATGTGGGGCTTCCAAAGCACTGAAGGAGGCCAGGAGAACGGTCATAGCTGTGTTTTAGAATGATGGCGTTGGTTTTAGAATGATGGCGTTGGATTTCGAGAGGAAAATAGCTTTAGTGGAGTCAGTTAGGTACAGATCCCGGCAGGAGACAGCCCTGGCAAAGGGGACAGGTAGAGAGGGTCGGGTTATCCACAGGTGGGGATGGAGGGGGCACATCTGAGAGGCACGGACACTGAGGGGCGGGTGTGAGGAAAGTCGAGCCCTGGAAGCCTTGCTCCTCTGCACAAGGCCATGACTCACCTCATAGTTGATGAATACTGGCTGACTTTTAATCACTGAGTCTAAATGATGTATCCTTTTGTGAACATTCTATTTTTGACATTAACTCCAAAGAGTTAAACTATATGTATGTTCTTTTTTACAAGTTGATTAGAAAGATTTCCTGTGTGCTGTGTGAGTGCTGGACTTTGCCTTGTTGGCCACCAGCTGAGCTGGTGACAGCTGTGTTCTCCCGCAGTGCTGCTGGGGACACCGGGCAGGCAGAGCACACATCATGGCAGCATGCAAGCAACACGTGTGCCCTGGCACATTTTCAAAGAAGAGCTACAACTGCAAAATGATGCTTTTCCTTCAGGTTTTATGGGTTTTTAAAAAAAGAGTTAGTGAAGAAATAGCTTTGTAATTCTTTCTTGCCATTCCCCAAAAAGATACTGTGATATTTTGCTAAATTCAAACTGTCATTTTTCCTTTACTGCCATCAGGCCAGCCATCTAGACAATGATGTTGGGGGGTGGGGGGTGCCGGTGAGGGAAAGGAAGATGTTTCCTGGTATAATCTTTATTCTGGTGCTAAGAAAGTGCTTTGAACCTTGGGTGACACACACCACCCAAATGGCAGAGCAAGGGGGTTGGGAGAATGTCTTTTCCCTTTTGCCTGTGTTGCCCATAACTACATAATTGTGTTTTAGTTAATTGGCTCAGATGCTACATTGTTTCCAAAGGAGATCAGTCTTTCTTCTCTCCATCTCTCTCCTTCTGTCCTTTTCTATTTGTTAAGCTCCTTTGTTTTAATGCCTAAATGCTTAACAGTCCATCTGCTGACCCCTCAGCTCCCAGACACTGAAAATGAATTATCTTTATGTGATGGCTGCTATGAATATCTTCCCGTTTGTCTTGGCCTCTGAGTTGTGGGTAGCCGTCTGCCTTGAACATTGCATCACAACAATTGTATAACCTCTTCCAAGCACTGCAGCAAACTTCAATTTATAAACATCTGTGGAGAAAGAGGAGAGAATGGGGTTGACTTGAGCGTGGGCTTTGAAAGCAGAAGGTCCCTTCCCTGGAGGCCTCTGTCAGTTGATGTTTCCGGGATGAGCATGACAGCTTCATACTCTGCCTGACACTTTTTGTTCAATTATTCATTGACCAAGTTTAATTGTGGGGACCAGGTAAGATATCAGTATTAAGTCTTATGAAGAATTAAGTGGCACTACCTTGATTGATGTAAAACTCTAATAAATCATTGAGTTTAATAATTTTAGAGCTATTTACAAAAAGCACACAGATTCAGAGTGGAACAGCTTGCCTCCTGAGGGCAGTATGTTGGGCCAGTAACATTTAGCAGTTAGTTAAGAGGAAGGCTGAGCCACGGGGAGGTTTAGGTTTTTTTTGTTTGTTTGTTTGTTTTTTTAGAATTTTTTAATTTCCATCTTGATTTCTCATTTATGAAGTAATCATTTAGTGGAGTTGTTTAATTTCCATGTTTTTGTGTAGAAATGTGAGTTTCTGTTAGGGTTTTTCTACTTTTATTCCACTGTGCTGAGAAGATACATGGTATGATTCTATTTTTTAAATTTCTTGAGATTTACTTTGTGTCCTAGGATATGGTTAATCTTAGAGAATGTCCTGTGAGCTGATGAGAAGAACGTATGTTCAGTGGATTTAGGGTAGAATGTCCTGTAGATGTCAGTCAGACTCAGTTGTTCCAGGGTTTTGTTTAAGTCCATTATTCTTTATTATTTTCTGTTGGAGGATCTGTCTTGTGCCGTCAGTGGGTGTTGAAATCTCCGGTGATTATGGAGTTGCTATTAATCCTTTGCTTAGATCAGTAAGGTTGCTTTATGAGACTGGGTGCACCTAAGTTGGGTGCATATATATTTAAAATTGTTATCTCTTTTGTGAAGTGTGCCCTTCACAGTTATATGTGCCCTTCACCTCTTTGTCTTTCACTACTTTGTTGTTTAAAAACTAAATCATCTGAATTAGAACTGCCACCCAGCCTCTTTTGGCTTCCACTTGCCTGGAATACTGATCTCCACCCTTTTACTTTTAGTCTATATGCATCCTTGCAGGTTAGATGTGTTTCCTGAAGACAGCATATACTTGGCCTGTATTTTCTTATCTATTCAGACAGCCTATGTCTCTTGAGTGGAGAGTTTAAGCCATTCACATTTATTGAGAGAACTGATAGGTAGGTAGATTACTGTTCATTCTGTTGGTGGATGCTGTTGCTTTGATTTCGTCTTGAGCCATTGTATTATGGCCTTTAATCTTTTGGTTTGTGTTTTATATTTGTGAGTTTTATTATGGTGTTCCGTGTGTAACACTGTTTTGAGTACTCTTGTAGGCTGGTCTTGTCTTGGTGAATTCTCTGAGACTTTGCTTGTCTGAGAATGTCTTATTTATCCTTCATATATGAAGCTTAGTTTTGCAGGGAATAAGATTCTAGGCTGGGCATTGTTTTGTTTCAGAAGAGTGAGAATGGGCCCAGTCTCTCCTTGCTTGTAAAGTCCATTAGAGGTCTGGTGTTATTTGAATTGGCTTCCCTTATATGTCACTTGCTTCTTTCATCTTACAGCTCTTAGAGGGCTCTTTAGTTGATATTTTGGTCAGTCTGATGACTGCATGCCGTGACGTCTTCCTATTTGCACTGAATCTCCAGGGTCCTCTGAGCTTCTTGAACTTGTATGTCGAGATTTGAGCAAGGCCTGGGAAATTTTCCTCTATTATATCTTCAAAATACTTGTCCCAATGCCTGAGTGTTGTCCTCTTCCCCTTCTGGTAACCCTATGACCTCACATTAGGTTTCTTCACATAATCCACATCTCTTGTAGGCTTTGCTTCTTTCTCTTGTTCTCTGCTCTATCTCTGTGATGGTTTTATTTAGTTGGAGGGTGTTATCTTCAATCTCTGAGATTCTTTCTTCTGTTTGATCTACCCTGTTCTTGAGACTTTCCACTGTATTTTGTAGTTCCCTGAATTGATTCTTCATTTCCGGATTCGTTAAACTTTTCTTCATTGTGTCTATTTCTTTAGTGAACTTTGTCTAGATCCTGGAGCTTTTGTGGTTTCTTTGTGTTGGTTATTGATTTTTTGTGCAGGTCGGTGAGTGTTCTTATGATCCACATATGAAATTCCTCTTCTGTCATTTTGGTTGCCTGATTTGGATTGTGTCCATTTCTAGGGCTGGTGCTCCTCTTGGGGTGTGGTTCCGTTTGTTCTCATATTTCCTGAGTTCCTTCGCTGATTCTTCCCATGTCGATCAGTTGTTGTTTCTTTCCTTTAGGTTTTTGTTTGAGTATTCACACACTTGTTTAGTTTCTGAGCCATTAGGTGGTGTCTGTGGGTGAGATTCGACCACTCCCTGTATAATGAATCAGTGGGTGCTATGAAAAGGCTGTGCAGGATGCCATCCCTGTCAGTAGGTGGTGCTTGCTTGGAGGAACAGGGCTATGCTGTTGTTTTTGTGTCCTGTTATCAGCTCGTGTTCTGGGCGGAGCTGGGTTGGGTAAGCCTACCTCAGGCACCACCAATGCCGTTACAGGGGCAAAGTTCTGTTCTCTGCTTCCAGGAAAGCTGTCAGGCGGGGCTGGAATGGTCCCGCTCAGCCAGAAAGTCTGCGTGTGGGTGGGCTGTCTGAGACCGCAGTCTGGAGCAGGCCTGGCTTCTTTCCACCCTCCCAACTCTGCAGCTGCTCCTAGGCCTCTGCCAGCAGCCAGACCACACGCCACCAGGCCTCCCTGGATTGTGATGTGGGGGGAGGTTCCCTGAGCAGGAACGCCACCTGGGCTGGGCTCACGGCCTGCTTTTGGGAGGAGGGTTGCCCTCTAGGACACTGATCTGACCCTGGAGGCACACACACCTCACCAGGCTGTTCACAAATCCCTTCTGTGCCCGGGCAATGCTAGACCTTGGTGCACGGGATCTGGTCTGCAGGTCTGACCTCTGGGTCCAGAGTTCAAACTGTATCCCACCAGGGAGAGGAGTTCGGGCCAATTCACCCACAGGGAGCCCGAGCTGTGTCTGTGTCTCTCAGCCTCTGAGTCGGCACCGTTTCCTGGGAACACCGTGCCAGCAGCACCTGGGATGGCTGGCGGTAGGGAGCTCACAGTCTGAGTTCCCTGAGTCAGCTGTAGGTCCCAAAAGGGAAGGTCCATTCCCTGGAGGTACCTCCGGCTGGTGCTGTATTGTCTCTCTGGGCAGCCGCGGGTAGGGCGGCGAGGGGAGGTGGGCAAGTGTGCCTGCCGCGCGGCTCGGGTCTATGCACACGGCGGTGCCCCGAGGGATTTGGGAGTCTGGTGCTGCGTCCGCTACAGGCTTACTGCTAGCTGGTGGCGGCCGTCTCTGGGCTGGTGTCCGCAGGTCTCCACCTGCTGGGGAGCCACCAGCAGTCCAAATGCATGGGATGGGAAAGGTGATTTATTCACCTACCCTTCCCACTGGTCTCCGGGCTGCTCCGGCGGTCTCAGCTTCCAGTTCTCCTCCGCAGCCTCCTCCCGTGGAGTCTCCGGGTCTCAGGTACTCCTCCTTCCGGCCCTCGTCTGCTGTATGCTCGCCTTCTTGCTTCCTTTTTTCTAATTTCTGCTAGAATCTATCTTTTCTGCAGAGACACTCTTTCTGGCGGTGTTTCTCATCCGCCATCTTGATCCTCCTCTTGAGGTTTAGGTTTTGAACATCCTTGTGTGTCCTCAGAAGGAGCCCCTTGCGCTTCTTATCTGAAACCTTCTCCTCTGCACAAAGCCATCAATGATATTTTTGAGCAAAATGACTAGAATATTACAAGTTTTCCCACAGTGTTCAAGAATGCCTATACATGCTGTATATGAATTTAAGGTTTTTAGATTGTCAAAAGAAACTTCAGAGTATCTAGTCACATAGTTTTCAAACTGTGTTCCACAGAGCTACCAGGGTTCCAGCACAGTGTCTCAGGAACTGCTTGGGGCATGGAGGGGAGTTCTGCATCCTTCCTCTTCCACCTAAAGCCAGAACAGTGCCAGGTTTTTGTTTGTTTTTTAATCAGTTTTAGATATTGGGCTTCTAAGTAAGGCTTAATTTGAACAATGCATTCCACTAATTAAATACCTGAAAAACTATTTATCTAGTCTAATTTCTCATGTTATAGAGGAAGATGCTGATGGCCAGAGAGGTTTTATAATCTGCCCAAAGTTTAATACCAGGGACCAGATGGATCTAGAATGCTGATCTTCTGTCTACCAGCCCAGTGCTCTTAATTTATCCCACTAACTATTGGATTCCTCAGTTCAGCCAAGACCAGCACGGGCCTGTTAGCACCAACCTTAGAACTGAGATGAAACCTAAAATATTAATGAAATGGATCTCGCCTATGGAGAGGCTATCGAGCATAGAGGTTATGCATGCAGACTCTGGACTGGGACTTGCTGGGGTCAACTGTACAGAAGTTACCCTTCCTGTAGCCGTTTCCTCATCTGTAAAACGGCGGTTATGGTGATGAAATAAGTCAATGCACATGCCAGCACTGAGAACAGTGTGTGGCAAGTAGTAAATAACAAAGACTAGCTTTTATTTAGAAGTTTGTATCATCAAACTTTCAGAGACCTGGGCTTCTGCAACTGCCCCTAGATACAGCGCAGCCTGTCAGTGCTCCTGCATCCTGTCTTTGGTGTGAGGAAGACCGAGGTCCTGGGTGGGTGTTCCCTCAGCCTATTCACACCGTCTTCGTTGGGGGGTAAAGGGTCATAGACTGTCTGAACTGGAAGCTCGTCTTACGTTTCAGGTAACCAAGTGAGAACCGGAGCCCATTGGTTGGAAATGGGGTTTCCCAACCATGGCAGGGCAGACGTGGCACTGAACACAACCCTGAGGAGCCTCTGTTCCATCGTGGTGCCACTCCCACTCACTGGACCAATGCGTTTATCTTGCATTTTACATTTTTTAAAAATTGAGATGAAATTCACTTAACATAAAATTAACCCATTTATCTTGTAAGATTCAGTGGCATTTAGCACATTCACAATGTACAACCATCACCACTATCTATTTCCAAAACTTCTCCATCAACCCCAGAGGAAACCCAGTACCCATTAAAAAGTCACTCCGTATCCCCCTCACCCCAGGTCCTGCCAACCACTGCTTTCTGTCTCTGTGGATTTACGTGCTCTGCATTTTTCATATAAATGTAATCATACAACATGTAACTTTGTGTCTGGCTTCTTTCACTCAGCAGGATGTTCTCAAGGACCATCCATGTTGTAGCATAAATCAATACTTTATTCCTTTTTATGGCTTTGATGTGGCACTTTGGTTAAAGGGTTTTGTTCCTTTCCCTTGTCTCCCACCACCCCCTGGAGTGAGCTGACGGACATGGTGTTCTGTACTGCCCTTCTCCCTTCCCTTCCACCCCAAACCTCAGCCACTGATAACAGGGCAAAGCTGTGGCCCCACATTTTGCTGCAAGCCTGTTTCTGGTTTCTCAGGTTGGGAGACCACTGTCAGAGAAAGCTCAGCAGCTGCTATTCTTATGGAGCCTACTTTGCTGGTCCCCTGCCTGTCATTGTGACATGTGCTTGTGCCCAGGTGTGTGTGCCTGGGCCGACAGCGGCAACATGAAGAAGGAAGGGACTTCAGGGGCTGGAAGACTTGGCCCTGAAATGATACTTTTGTGTTGTGCACAGCCCACATAGTAGTGGAAAAGCTCTTTCATCACTGCCATCTCTGCCAACTTGTTGTCACACACACCCAGGCTGCAGAGGAGCCATGCTGGCAAGTGGGCCCACTGGATCTAGGCAACAATATCATAACATAGATTACCAGAGCAATATGTCACAGTGTCCTTTTGTGATGTCAAGGTATTCCATTTTTTAATGGGGAGAATTTTCTTGTCTGTAAATGTGAGCATCTAAACTGTAGAGGAGAGATTAAAAACATAAAATCACCATACTAATCAGGCTCAATAATTCCTTTTGCAAGTTTGGATCTAATGCTGAGGAATGGCTGGCATTCTTCTTTGAAATCAATTATAGTCAATTTATTCAAATTTTACATCCAGTTAAAGGAGGATTGTCAAAATAAAATATTGCCCAACATAGATTTCTTTTTGTTTTAATTTTCCTACTCTCATAAACCAAGAGCTTCGTAGATTACTTTGCCAAAAATGCATGTTTAGAGACTAATCTATGTGCTGTCTTTACCTGGGCTGTGGTAAGGATGGTGGTGTCTTCCTTTTCCTTCTGCTGGTCTGGCCCCTCTCCAGAGTGCTCAGGTGTGTCCTTGGGCAGCATCTTGTCTACACTCAGGGCCTGTGTCCCACTTCCTTAGGTGCCTGTGATGTTGTGACTGTCTTGCTGATGGTGTTATTTGTGATAATCTTTCTAGAGCACAGGCATGGGCCACTGCCGGAAGGGGCCAGGGCTGGGAGCCAGAGGCCTGAGTGGCCGCAAGGTTCAGGCAGGCATGAGGCCACATTCCAGGGTCTGAAGGATCACACTGTGCTGTAGGTCCAAGCATGCTGAGCTGGAGCTTGGAACTTTACCGAGGCAGAAAGGGTCAAATGGCACCAGAGGTGAAGCAGGCAGAAACTGGAGAACCAGCAACAGGTTGGGGACACTGCCCATGAGTTTGGGTCACAAGGAAAAGCAAGCTTTGTCGTGATCTCTTTGACCTTCTTGTTTGTTCCCTGCATTTGGCAAGAACCCACAGGTGTGTGTTTGCTGCAAGAAGGCAAGATGGGTCTCTGCAGGTGCAACTTATCCCTAATTAAGGATGGACAGAGGCTTAGACCTTCTCAGAGTTTACCTAATGTGAGCTGCTAACAATAGGTTTAGTTCTGCTGTAACAAAGGGACCCAGAGGCATGCTGCTTAACTTCCATGGCCGTCCTTAGTCCCTCCTCCCAGGCAGGCCCCCTCCTCCTCAGATCTGGCATATCCAATCACTCTTTTGGGGATACAACCTGCATTCTGCCTTTCTCAGCGTTATGGTCTCAGTGAGGGGAAACCAAGACTCATGGCACTCGGGACCTTGTCGATGCTTCCCTTCACCAGCCTTCTGGTGTCCAGGCGAGTTTGAGCTGGCTGAATGGTGGGCCAGATTCCTTGGGAAACAGGTAGGCAGCACAGTAACTGGGGCTGCACTGAGTTCTCCAGGCTAAACCTTCCAGAAGACAATACATGCTTGTCTCCTCTGCCTCCTTCCTTGTCCCATGTCTTTTGTTAGAACAAAAGAGGATTAAAGAATGAGTTTCTTTTGTATTTCTATCCTTGTATTTCTATGGACATGAAGCTTTAAAGCCAGTCTTCTTGGGTTTGTGACTCTCTTCATTTCCTGCTCCCCTTGCTCTAAAATAAAGACTCTGAATGCAAAACAGAATCACTGGGAAGATTTAAAAATCCTGATGCCCAGGCTAGACCCCCAATACAATTTACCATTGCATTTTATTATACAGCAATTTATCATACCATATTATACAATATGGTATCAATTAGAATGTATTAATAGATGGCTCAGTGGCTTTATTGGGGGCTTTTTAAAATTTCAGCATGTTATGGGGGTACAAGTGTTAAGGGTACGTATATTGCCCATGCCTTCCGCCCCCCTTGAGTCAGAGCTTCAAGTGTGATCACCCCCCAAACATTGCACATCTCACTCATTGTGTTTGTATATACCCATCCCCTCCTCCCACCTTCCAACTGCCAAACACCCCATAAATGTTATTCCTGTATGTCCACTTAGGTGTTGATCCATTAATACCAATTTGCTGGTGAGTACATGTGGTGCTTGTCTTTCCATTCTTGAGATACTTCACTTAGTAGAATGGGTTCCAGCTCTATCCAGCAAAATACAAGAGGTGCTATATCACCATTGTTTCTTAAAGCTGAATAGTACTTTATGGTGTATATATATACCAAATTTTATTAATCCATCTTTGGATTGATGGGCACTTGGGTTATTTCCACAGCTTTGCAATTGTGAATTGTGCTGCTATAAACATTCGAGTGCAGGTGTCTTTTTCATAAAGTGGCATTTGATCTTTTGGGTAGATGCCCAGTAGTGAAATTGCTGGATCAAATGGTAGATCTACTTGTATCGCTTTAAGGTATCTCCATATTGCTATCCACAGAGGTTGAACTAGTTTGCAGTCCCACCAGCAGTGTAGGAGTGTTCCTCTCTCTCCACATCCACGCCAACATTTATTGTTTGGGGACTTTTTGATAAAGGCCATTCTTACTGGAGAGAAGTGATATCTCATTGCAGTTTTGATTTACATTTCCCTGATGATTAGAGATGTTGAGCATTTTTTCATGTTTGTTGACCATTATTCTGTCTTCTTTTGAAAAATTTCTGTTCATGTTTCTGTTTCTGTTTGTCCTTTGTCCTTTTAATAGGGTTGTTAAATTTTTCCTTGCTGATTTTCTTGAGTTCTAAATAAATTCTAGTTATCAGCCCTTTATCGGATATGTAGCTTGCAAAATTTTCTCCCATTCTGTGGGTTGTCTGTTTGCTCTTTGACTGTGCAGAGAGTTTCTTTGGCTGTGCAGAAGCTTTTTAATTTAATTAGGTCCCATTTATTTCTTTTTGTTGGTGCTGTGATTGCCATTGGGGTCTTCGTCATAAATTCTTTGCCTAGGCCAATGTCTAGAAGAGTATTTCCAACATTTTCCCCTAGAATTCTAATAGTTTCACATCTAAGGTTCAAGTCTATTACCCAGAGTGAGTTGATTTTTGTAGAGCTGAAAGGTGTGGGTCCTGTTTTAGTCTTCTACATGTGGCTATCCAGTATTCCCAGCACCATTTATTGAATGAGGATTCTTTTCCTCAGTGTATGTTTTTGTCTGCTTTATCAAAGATTAGTTGGCTATATGTGGATGGTTTAATATCTGGGTTCTCTGTTCTGTTCCACTGGTCAATGTCCCTGTTCTTGTGCCAGTAACAAGATGTTATCATTACTATTGCCTTGTAGTATAGTTTGAAGTCTGCTAATTGATACCCACTACTTTGTTTTTATTGCCTAGGATTGATTTTGCTTTACGGGGTCGTCTCTGGTTTCATACGAAGCGTAAAATTATTTTTTCTATATCTGTGAAAAATGATGATGGTATTTTAATAGGGTTTGCATTGACTCTGTAGGTCACTTTGGGTAGTATAGACATTTTAACAATGTGTTGATTCTGTGGACCAATGAGCATGCTGTATTCTTCCACCTGTTTACATCCTCTGCTATATCCTTCTTCAGTGTTCCATAGTTCTCCCTGTAGAGGTCTTTTACCTCCTTAGTTAAATATATTCCTAGGTACATTATTTTCTTTGTTGCTATTGTGAAGGGAATTGAGTCTTTGATTTGGTTCTCACTTGTACTGTTCTTGGCGTATATGAATACTTCTGACTTCTGGGTATTGATGTTGTATCCTGATACTTTACCAAATTCGTTTATCCATTCAAGGAGTCTCTTGGTTGAGTCCTTGGAGTTTTCTAGGTATAATATCATGTCATCAGCAAAGAGTGACAGTTTGATCTCTTCTGCTCCCATTTGGACGCCCTTAATTCTACTCTCTTGTCTGATTGCTGTAGCGAGGACTTCCAGCACTATGTTGAATAGAAATGGAGATAGTGGGCAACCTTGTCTTGTTCCAGTTCTAAGTGCAATGCTACATTTTCCCATTCAGTATGATATTGTATGGTTTGTCATATATGGCTGTTCGTATCATTTTAGTAAGCCCCTCTAAGCCTATTTGTTGAGGCGTCTTATCATAAAAGGGTTGGAATTTTGCAAATGATTTTTCTGCATCTATTGAGAGGATCATATGGTCTTTGTTTTTTTGCTTCTGTATATGATTACATTTATAGTTGTGCCATTGTTAAACCATCCCTGCCTCCCTTGAATGAAGCCCACTGTGGTTGTGATGGATTATTTCTGACAAGCCATAGATTCGATTGGCTAAATTTGTGAAATTTTTTGCTTTTATTCAAAGGATATGGTCTGTAGTTTTTTTTTTGTTGCATCCTTTCCTGGTTTGATTAAGTTATGTTCGTTTCATAAAATGTTTGGGGAATTCCACCTTCTTGATGTGTGTAGAATAATTTCTGCAGATAGGCACCAGTTCTTCTTTGTAGGTGTCGGTAAAATTCGGGTGTGAAACCATCTGGTCGGACTTTCTTTTGGACTTTATTCAAAGTTTTTTATGCTGTTTCAATTTCAGTACCTGATATTGGTCTGTTCAGGATTCATTTCTCCTGGTTGAGCCTAGGAGCTGTGTGTTCTAGAATTGTCCATTTCCTCCACATTTTCCAGTTTATGTGCTAGAGTTTTTGTAGTATTCATAAATATACTTGTATCTCTGTGGAATCCGTTGTAATTTCTCCTTTATTGTTCCTGATGGAGCTTATTAAAGATTTTTCTTTTCTGCTTTTTGTTCGTCTACACAATGGTGTCTCATTTGTTTGTTTTTTCAAAAAGAACAACTTTTTTTTTAGTATCTCTCCATATAGTTCCTGTTGTCAATTTCGTTTAGTTTTGATTTGATCTTAATGATTTCAGCTTTTCTGCTGGTTTGGGTTGGTCTGTTTTTCCAGCTCTTTGAGACGATCATTAGTTGTCTATTTGGTGATCTTTTCGACTTTTGATATATGGCATTTAGGGAAATAAATTTTCCTCTCAGGCGTTTAGCGTTCCCAAAGTTTGGTAACTGTGTCACCTTTGTCGTTTAGTTCAAAGAATCTTTTGATTTCCATCTTGATTTCCTCATTTATGAAGTGATCATTCAGCAGAAGGTTGCTTAGTTTCCATGACTTTGTGTAGAAATGAGGACTCCTGTTAGGATTGATTTCTACATTTATTCCATTGTGGTCTGAAAAATACATGGTATCATTTTATTTTTTGAATTGTTTGAGTGCTTTGTGTCCTAGGATATGGCAATTTAGAGAATGATCCATGACTGATGAGAAGAATGTATATTCAGTGGTTGGGGGTAGAATGTCCTGTAAATGTCAGTCAGGCCATTTGTTCTAGAGTTCTGTTTAAGTCATTATTCTTTGTGTATTTTCTGTTTGGAGGATCTGTCCTGTGCTGTCAGTGGGCTGTTAAAGTCCTCCAACTATTATGCTGTTGTTGTTTATCCATTTGTTTAGATCAAGTAGAGTTTGATTTATGAGTCTGGTGCACCAAGGTTGGATGCATATATATTAAATTGTTATGTCTCTTGTTAACTACCTCACCATTATATAGTGACTTCTTTGTCTTTATTACTTTTGTTGATTTAAAAACTAAGTTATCTATAATCAGCACTGCCACGCCAGTTTCTTTTGGCTTCCATTGCTTAAATGTCTTCTCTACCCCTTTATCTATTGCATCCTTGCAGGTTAGATGTGTTTCTGAAGCAGCAGATACTTGGGCTGTGTTTTTTTATCCATTCACCCAGCCTATGTCTCTTGAGTGGGGATCAAGCCATTGACATTTATCGAGATAACTGATAGGTGGGCAGATTTCTGTTCATTATGTTGGGTTGAACTTTGTTGCTTTGTTTTCTCTCTTGAATCATTGTAGTGTCTGGGCTTTGATCTTTAGCTTTTGAGTAGCTTTACATTTGTGAATGTTTATTGTGCCGATCCACGGGTAACACTGTTTTGAGTACTTCTTGAAGGGCTGGTCTCGTCTTGGTGAATTCCCTCAGTCTTTGCTTATCTGAGAATGTCTTGATTTATCCTTCATGTACAAAACTTAGTTTTGCAGGGAATAAGATTCTAGGCTGGGCATTGTTTTGTTTCAAAGAGTGAGAATGGGGCCCCAGTC